GACGCGTGGATGCCTTTTGGTCCGATTGGTGCCACCAACCGGGACCAAAGGCCCTCCTGCCTGGGCTCGCAGCACCGGCCACGTGGAGGCCCATCGGTCCCGGTTCGTGTAAGAACCGGGACTAAAGACCTTGGGCTTTAGTAACGACCCTTTAGTCCTGGTTCAAGAACCGGGACAAATGGGCCTTACAAACCGGGACAATAGGCCCTTTTTCTACTAGTGAAATGTATCTATCATGTTTCAAGGTTCAACATTTAGCTCGCCATTTTTGTCAATGTGTCGGGGTACCATTTCTCTTACACAGAAAATCCTAATTTCCTTTTTATTCATATAGTGAAGATCCTAAGAGGAATTATTTTCTTCGCGATTTTTACCTATCTAACATGGATGAGAGGGTTGTTTCCAATATTGTCTTGCTTTTATTTTAGACTCGATGCTCAAGCTCTTAATCAAACCATCACCAAAATGCTGGTGATTCCATGAAGATGAATTGAGAATTGACACCATGTATCACTAGATCATTGATGGCGCGCGTTGTCGCGCCCGTCTATTTTACAATAGAATAATTGGATTTTATTTAAATTGTTAAGCATAAATAAAGTGTCGAAAGATGGTTATATTTTTTTGTTAAACTATAAAAGGTGCAAGTAGTTTTAAAGTATTGCACTACTTGAGCATACCGGACAAACATCATTAACAATCAATGAGCAATATCTGACATAGCAACACTAAGTAGTAACACCCCAGCATGCCATGCCATATAAAAAGAGTAGCAATATGTGCACCGGTGAAAATGAGTCATAAACTTGGATCAGGCTCCGTTCTAGTTCACTGCCCATACATCAACTGTACCATAAAGCATTACAGATCCAAGGCAACTAAGGAATAATAAGATGTGCATAAGCATGGAATCACATAATTGGTTGGCGTTGTCTACTGTTATGCAAGACCCACAAGAAAGAGATCTTGTTGCTGTGCCCTTCCATCTGTTCAATAAAATGGGAGAAACTTGTATAAATACTTTAAAGCATGAAACATGAGACATGGAAGATAAAATATTATAGCCGGTTATAAGCTAATGGTTCTATTTGCAACATAAAATATAATAGGCTAATGGTTCCGATTCCTGAGTCATACCGGGGGAAACTCAGAAATGTTAAGTACATTGATACTGTTATTATAACTTCAAAGGGTGGCATTCAATCAAACTCAAGATATCATAGGAGGCCTCCACATCATAGTCCACCCATAGTGCCTTATAAGGCAGTGCAGACACGAAACATCAAGGTAACTCTAAATAAGAGGTCCTGCAACATGATTCGTTTTGAGTTAGCTCAAGAAGACGTGTTTAATAAAGAAAGATGTATTACGGTAATTACAAAAAGAAGCTTGTATATTTGACCTGAGCATGATTATGGTTTATGGTCCCTCTTGGCGGATTTGCATGCTAATCTCTCAATTCTGATCATCCCCAGACCACAAATTGAAAGAAACAACACTTTAGAGATATAGTAGTTCTGCTGCTCCTCATGCATTGAATACACAATATATTTTCTCCTTCTGAACCTGATACTTCCAAAATTGAAAGAATTGGAGAGCTACAAGTGAGTGAGCTTACGAATGCATAGGCATCATGCTGCTACTAAACCTTGAAAAAGAAACTTCAGATTTACCATGCAGAACCTTGAAAAAGAAACTGCAGATATAGTACGATTCAGAAGGTCTAAAGTGTAGCACTGATGGAAACATTACACTCCAGGCTACCATACAATCCTGAGTTTACAACAAAGGTAACATCTGAGGATTAAAATGGAAATATATTGTGGAAAATAAAAATTACTTTGCTTATTGGCACCTTATTACAGACTGGTCCCTATTAGGATGGGAAGACCTCCAGGAAAAAAGTACATCCAAGTACTAAGTACTAACATCATTGATAATATATAGCATAGCATTGAGTATTGACTGTTGGTATGAACCATTCCACTTTCCAGTGCATATATCAACTCGCGGAGCTACGCTGGAGCAAAAGCGTGCCATAGCCCGCCCAGCGCAAAAACAGAAAGAGAGTTACTCAGTTAGTACAAAGTTAAGTCATCTATTTTAGAACGGAGTACATATGAAGAGCCCCAGCCTCACTGAGTGAGACTTGTTGTTTGAGTCCTGAGTGCCCAGCGGACTGCAGCCCAGCCGCATAGTCGTACGGCGTAGACAGCACTGTTAAGAACATCGACAGCAGTGTGAAGACACGCTGCAAAAAGTCTTTTTGTATGGTCACGCATATATGTCAGATGCCACCAAACAACATTAATTAAAGGTACAGTGCAAGGTTTTATTGCCTATGGTTAATCCTAGCTGGACGGTGGCATAGCTGAATATGGCTAGTCCCAGCCACCATTTCCGGCGCCTAATAAATAAATCGACCGACCCGGTACTCTGTGTAGGAGTACAATTAGCCCGTGATGCGTATTGATTGGATAGGACGCTGCATCAACAAAGATGGACGTACGTACGTGCATGAGATGAGATATGAGATCAGATCGAGACGTGCGTTGCGTACCTTCACTTCTTGCGTATGCAAAAGGACCGCACTTTTTCTTGCGGTTAAAAAAGGACCATATATACTAGCCCTAAGCACATAGCATGAGTTTAAGCTGGGTAAATTTGGCTTTCCAAATGAAAACTGGGGAAATTTTAGGGGGCAAATCAAATCGGGATTGCGCAAAAACATATGCTATAGCTAGCCATCTAGCCATCACTACATAAATGACCTTTCATCGTTACGGTCATACGCTAATTGTGTTTGCAAGAGAGAGCCATGTTAATGAAAGTACACAACTATACATACGCACGCATGATTATTTAGACGTGGATTTCAGATCATCGATCGACCTTCGTAATTAATTTGTTTGGTGTGAATCAATGTGGAGATCTGTGTTTAGTGTTTCTTGCACGTCAAATTAAGCAAAGCAAAATTGAAAAACGTTATATTTGTTTGTTTGACAACGAAATGGACGTCTTTTCACAACAATGATCGTATGATACTATCTGGAGGTTAGATATCTAGCGACACAGCTACATGTAAGTTTCCTTTGTCCATTCTAGACATCAGAGCTAACCGGACACAGCAAGACAACCAAACTTTTGTTATACTCCCTCCTTTCCAAATTACTCGTCGTGGTTTTAGTTCAAATTTGAAATAAAATCACGACGAGTAATTTGGAACGGAGGGAGTAGATAGTAGTACTACGAAATTTCCACCGCTTGGGATTCAGAAGTGATACAACATGGGAAGGGTCTTTCCAATCAGCCTTCAGTATATTCTGGAGAATAGTACTCATCCTTCAGTATACCAGTTCACTGTGTTGAAAAGTCATCCTTCAGTATAACCAGTTCACTGTACCTCTTCGCATGCCCCTCACTGAAGTCTACGAGTATTATTACTTTTATGGAAGGAGGGATGTTTTTTTGAGACCTGCTTTTCTTGCACTGGACGCTAGGGTTAGTGCTCTAGTGTTCTTGTATTGGGGTAGTCCGGGGGTGTCACGGGTCTTCGCTGCGGCGGATCACGTGGGAATTTCGGTCTGGTTTAGGTTTGGAGTCTGGGGCGGGGAGGTGGAGGTGGAAGAGGGAGCGGCGCAGGTGACCAGGGGAGGGCAGGGAAGGCGTGGTGCAACGACTGGGCGACCCACGCGAGGCGGAGGTGGGGTGGGTAAAATAAAATCTCTACGCGGCTTCGTGGATCAGATCGGTGTGCCCGTGTGGCCCGGCGTGTCTATGACGGGTGGGAACGACTGGTTTGCGGGCCCTGATCCCTGATGACATGGGGAAGTCCATACTACTAGGGATGTAAATGGTACGAATAATTTATGTTCTGAATCCGCGTCTGCATCTGATTTGAAGGATATGGTATGCACTTGGATGAATCTGATGGATATGGGTGCAGATACGGATTTTGGTAAACTGGATATCTGGCGGATATAGTATCGATAATATACAACGGATGTGGATTATGCAGTACTTTTTACGGATTGTCTAAGGTTATCAAATAGGATTTATCCAGTAAATTTAGCTCAATCGACAAGCCCTAATACCCAATTAGACTAATTATAGAATCACCTCATATAAATAAAGTATAACTGTAATCCCAGTAGCATCGTAGCAACAAGACCGTGGGATCAATATTGGTACTCTGTGTGTAATGCTATCATTTTGGACTCTATGTGTACTGCTATCACAATTTATTGGTATTGCTTATTGTTGTCATATTGCTGTGATTTAGGACTTTAATTGCATGGCCAGATTTCAACTAAAAGCACGACACTTATTTTGAATGGAGAGAGTAGATGATGACGTGATTGGTGGCCCGATTGGTTGATCATTCGACCCCAAGTTAGTTAAGCAATTAGGTGTGAGAAGAGGAAGCCTCTCAGCTAGTTGTAAGTGAGATGTTGGTAGAGCAGTGTTTTGCTTCTTTTTCGGGCCAAACAGTGTTGTTCGATAGGTTAACTGTCGGTCCAAATCAATGATCATGTTATCCGTTTAACCTAGGACGCATGCAATTTATATATAAGTGTCAAAGAACGTCACGTATTTTATTTGTTCAACTGCATGCATTTTCCTTTCATTATGAGGTGATTTGTACGCTATATTGTGTGCAAGTCTACCTAAATTCTTGGGTACCGGCCGGTCTGCAAGGAGAGGGAGATAGACTATATCTTGTTCATCACTAACAATATCACGGCAATTCAAGCAATCATGTATATTCATTCACCAATAATGGACACGTACAAATCAATCACCATTAGTTCATGAAGAAAAAGCAATTAAGAAACAGTATGACAGAACGACCTAGGAGCCTCCACAGCGCTTTGCCATCGCTCGCCGTGCGATTGCATCGATCGGAAGTCGTCTGATTGTCTTCACTCGTTTCTTGGGCGGCTACTCTGCAGAACTCTCTACCTCTGTTGTGGTTGATTGGACTGGTATTGTAACCGGGCCGGTGCACTGAATTCATTGGCCTGTTTAGATGGTCCATGCCTTTCTTTCATCCCCGCACCCTGATCCCTCCCTCTCCCGTCCGAGTTGCCGCCGTTCTTCTCCTCTCCGCCAGCACCGCTCAGGCAGCCACCTCGCCTAAAAGATAAGGTCACGAAATAAAATCTCCATCGGTGGCGACTCCTCTAATATTCCCGTGATCAGCGGGCAGTGAATACAGAGCGAGGCAGGCAACGACGGATTGGCCTGGGTGAGGAGATGCGGTCGACCAGGTCACGCCATTGTGCTCGCCTTGAACAATCAGGCGGAGGATGTGGCACGGTTTTTCTGGCGAGTGCCCAGTGGACCTATTCCGCTGCACTGCGTTGCCACCGGTGTGGGAGGGCAGTTACGCCGGCGTTGGTATAAAATGGCAGAGCTTCCGAGAGCAGTAGGATGGCGGTTCCAATAGCTAGGACGTGCGAGAGAGCAGAGGTCGAGCGTCAAGGTGCACTTCTACTCCGGCCGCCTCCAGCCGTGCAGAGGTCCCGCACCACTGCATCCTTTGGGCGCTTCTCTGTGCTGGGTGATGGGAAGATGAAGATGAAGATGTGGATCATGGGTAGGCAGGTAAAACTGGAACTGGGTTGAGCACTTGAGGCTTGCCGCAACTGTAAGAGGCCAACATCTCCTACTAACATGCTTCTGTGGCTTGCGGTGGCTCGACACCTTCTACGGCAGACACATGTTCAAATCCCCATCGACTCATATATGGATGACAAAGCACAATGTTGTCGTTAGCATGAGGTAATTTTATTCTGCACCTATTCAACACTTCAGTTCCAGCAAGCATTTTTTGTAACCATGGACATATTATTTCAGTTTTATGGCTCTTGCCGGGGATCCATGTGGCCAGTCACATGGCTTGATCGAGCGGCCTCCCATAGAACTTGCACTGCCTCCGCCTAGATTCCTTGGTGATATATCATATATCTACTTCCGATCCCCTTTTCTTCACAAATCCATGACTCCGATGTATTTCCATGGGTTGCTACAAAATGCATGTATCTTGGTATGATGTAGATGAAACATGTAAAATATTCTTACACTATCTGTTTAATTTCCTCTCAAGCCAATCGACTTTGATTGGATGATCACTTCATTTTCTGCTTTGCTTGTCTCTGTCAAATGCAAATTTTGAGGTATACGTAAGAGCGGAAGATTGAGCTATTTGATTTTTTATCTTATATTTGCTACTCATAAGAACATGCATCAACTTATTTTTGGCCTCTTGTTCTTGTTGAGAAAATACGAGATGTCGCTTCTTTTGCCCTTTGAATGTCCAATGATGAATAGAAATTTGAAAAATGTAAAAATGTGGCAAGAGTGTACATTTTTTTACAAAAGCTTTGATTATTACATTCTAAAATTGGGCGGGCGCCGCAACGCGCGCTATCATGTTCTAGTAATTATAACAGTTCAACCGACGAGGCCATTCACTAAACATGCACCGCCACAAAAGACATTCTCAGGCAAATGATTTTTTTAGGATGTCAGGCAAATGAATTAAAACTGCACTTTTACGTGGTCCTCATTATTAGTAGCAGCACGTACGCACGTAGAGCCGACCCAACAAACAGCATGCATGCATGGCTGGTTACATTGGCGGGAACTTAGACTTGATGGCCTCCACCAGGCCGCCGTCGATCTGGAGCGCCCTGGCCAGCACATCCGTGGGCACCGGTGGTGAGGCTGCGAACAACGCTAGGGCGAGGGACTGCGTGCCCGGAAGCTGGCTGTTGAAGGCCGAGATGGCGGCGGCCGGCGCGTCACCATTGTTCTTCTGGTAGTGTAAGAGGCCGCGGGGGAAGACAAAAAGCTCACCCTTGCAGACGGTGCGGGCGAAGAGCTTGCCGGCGGTGGTGACGAAGCCGACGTCGAGGGAGCCCTCAAGCACATAGATGATCTCGGTGGCGCGTGGGTGGGTGTGCGGCGGGTTCACGCCCCATGGCGCGTAGTCCACGCGGGACATGGAGACGCCCATCGTGTTGAGCCCCGGGAGCTTCTCCACGTTCGCCGCTGTCACGGCGGAGCCAACCGGGTTGCCGGTGTTGCCCGGGAGTGCCAGCGCGGAGGAGAAGAAGTCATCCGCCGTAACGTTCTCCGGCCTCTTGCACGGGAACCCGTTCAGCCGCAATGCTGCAAGCATACACTTATGCATTAACTCTTTGTTGGCATGATCTATATTTGTGCGAACGAGAGAATGGATGCAAGAGACGGCACAACTTACGGCCGTTGAGGGATTTGTAGTCGGCGACGCAGAAGTCCTGTAGCATGTCCGGGTCGCCGGCGAGCAACGGTGCGGCGAGTGCCAGGAAGGTGGCGCAGACGGCGAGGAGAACGGTAGAGAGCTGCTTGGGCGGCATGGTCAAGTGCTGCTTAATTGACTACTGGTTGGTTGGTGCAGCGCTAGGTAGTTTGCACTGTGGTGAAGTAGCTGAGGATGAGAAGGCAAACCATGCAGCGCATGTATTTATAGTGCAGTGTAGCGTACGGGGGATGTGATCGATCGGTAGTTGATCCATAGACACGTGACGAATTTAATTGCACGCGGTTTTATGAGGACGATGCATCCATGCTCTAACACTTCAGCTTGAAGGTATGGTTGGATAGCGATCTCATATTGTCAAGCACCATAGAATTTGTGCCATGCACTCGTGGAGTCAGAGAGGGGTCTGAGCTGGAGGAGGGAGGAATGATCAAAGCTGGTACTGTATATAGATAGCGTTTTGCTAGATGACAATCGCCTGTAAAAATATTTTGGCTCAGATTGTTTTAAACCGTTCGATGCGAGATGGATAGCTGGATTAGCTTCTTCAACCTTCAGTCCAACCTCCTGTTCATCTTCCTCTCAACCGCCCCACGTACCACTGCCCTAATCACCGGCCTCCCCCGCTCAAGGCTGGCAGTGCTCCCGCGATCGCCTCACCGCACCACCCTCCCCTCAACCTCCCCCCACTGCCGGTCCTTCCACCGTCCCGGCCATCCCTCTAAACCCGACAACCACCCAAAAATCCCCGGCAAACCTGCACGCACCACCCTAATGATAGATAGTGGGGCTGCTTTTCCGATGAACCTGCACCCGCCACCCTAAAGATAGATAGTGGGGTTGCTTCTTCCTAGGCGTCGGTGGCCTTGGTGTCTCCTTCCTCTCCCTCGGTGCTTCCTTCTTCCTTCGCCAAACAAAATCGACCGATACAAAAGCAAAATTCAGTCGACAGATCTTTAGCTATTGTAAATTTGTGATATAGCTACTAAATTGTGATGTGTTCAACTTGCACATGGTTCATTTTCTGACGACTAGCAGCTTGCTTGCATGTTAGATTATATTAAATTGAACGGATACGTGTAAGGAGGAAAAGAATTGGGGCGTGAGATCCGGAAACTAGCTGGTGAAACTAGACGCGTGCATTGAGTAATGAAACAGCCGCGCGTCGGTGCATGCAGCAGCACTCTAGTCGCCAGCTTGCTTGATCTCTTGCATTGCATCCATATCGACCGTACAAGGTGTAGTGGCTGCGTGCATCACGTACCGATGTGCCAGCTACTGCAGTGACCACTGAGCAAGCAATATCGGTCCATCGGCTAGCGTGTGAGAAAAGACTAGAGTTGGATTGGGCCTGATTCATTGCCTGGCTAGGTACACATGCATTGAACTTGCGTGATCTCGTTGAGGGCGTACGTGCGTACGCTACGCTGCATAATACTAGTAGTACGTAATAGTCAAGACGTAGAAGGATTATACTTATGAAAATGAAACCAAGGCATATAGAGGATGTGCCGTACGTACTAGATTTTGTATATAGTGTTACTAGGGGTGTAGAATAAGTTGTTCTACACTCACATTTAAAATAACGTTATCCTATATATGTATGTATAATGTATGTATCTGTGTCTGTGCGCGCGCCGTGTCTTACTGCTGTGAAGTATGAAGAATGTGGGCAAAGAAAAAATATTTGGCAATGCGTACGTTTTACTTCTCCTCCTGACCCAGCTAATTAATCCGTACAGCCAATGTTGTCGCAACTGACAATACAGATCGTGTGGCCACCAAAACACCCGACAACAGTGTTAAGACACTCCCTGCAAAAGTCACTAAAACACGATCGAATCCGTTGCTCTTTTTGTGTGGTCACATGCAGGGCGGAGCTAGAAAATTTGGCCATTGGGTTCGCTCATTCACTCTTTATGAGAACACTCGCTTATTCTTTTCGCTTCTCTGACGTGGTGCAATAAGGCTGCGCGGAGCTGCTCCCACTCCCCTCCCCCCGCGCCGCTGGCCACTCCGGCCGCGGCGGCCACCACCCAAGCCTTCATGGCGACGACCCCGCACTCCTCGCCAGCTGGGGGCTCTGGCCTCGGACCGGATCTTGATGCCTGGGCGTCTCCTCCATCCTCTGGTCCGTCCGCGGTTCCGGAGACGCCGCTCGCGAGCTCGCCAGATCCGGCATCGTCGCTGCGGATCCCGCCTCGGGAGCCGCCGCTGGTGGATGGGCAGCCCTTTGGCCCGGTAGATCAGGCCACTCCACCTCCCCCGAGCATTAAGTCCATCATCGTCGCTCCATCACCGGCTGTCCACCTTTCCTCTTCGGGTGCGGATGGAGGGTGGACCGAGGTCAGCCACCAAAAGAACCGGCGCCCTTCCTCTGGCCCGCTGGTTTCTGATGCGCACCGTAGGGTGCACACGTCGGACCGCCGGAGCGGCTTCAATGCGAGCGCTGGCCGCGACGCCTTCTTAAGCAAGTTCCGCGGCCGCTGTTTCAGATGCCTCAGCAAGCGCCATCGCCGCGTCGATTGTAGGGATCCAATCCATTGCATCCTCTGCGAGCAGCCGGGGCACATTGGCAAACACTGCCCGCAAAACCCTCGAAATCTGAGCAGAGGAAGTGCAAAGAGTAGGCTTGGGCCGGCACCGTCGCCGGTGCCTCTCCACGCGCGTCTCCAGTTCCCGCCGCCCGCTGCACCAACCATGCCCACCTCCGCCCAGACCATGCTGTACCACGTCGATCCGGCGCGCCATCCCCGAGAGAGCCACTCGGTGGCCATGTCCACTGGGGTGGCTGAGCAGGCCATCTTCTTCCTGCGCCATCACGCCATCACCCTGAGCGCGGCGGATGGGGTGAACGCCACGTCCCCTATGGCCATCGGGCGGGCTCTGGAGGCGCAGCTCGCCGTCCCTGAGCACCAACTGCGGGTCACGGCCCACCACCCGGAGCACTACCTCGTCATTTTCAACCAGCCGGCGCACCACGACAACGCGGTCCGCCGCGGCTCCATCCGCGTCGACGGCGCCGTCTTCACCATCGCGTCGTGGCACGAGCACGACCACGCCTCCTTCGACACGCTCAGCCTGCATGTCCGCGTCGTCATCGAGAAGGTCCCAATGCAGTACTGGTCCCTGGAGGGGGCCGAGGAGATCCTGGGGAAGAAGGTGCGTGTCGACCGCCTCGACGGCAGGACGCTGGAGCGCGGGCACACGAAAACTTTCGCCTGCTGGCTCTGGACTCGCGACGTCGCCCACATCCCCACCAAGCACACCTTGTGGGTGTTGCCGCGCGGCGCGGGGCGAGTGGAAGAGATGCAGGGCTTCTCGCCGCTGGACCGGCGTGTGGCTCCGCCGCCGGGCGTTGTGTCCTACACGATGCTGATCCATGTCGACCGGGTGGAAGATTGGACGCCTCTCTCCCCGCGCTCCTCCCACTCTGGCCAGAGTGGGCTGCTGTCATCTGACTCCGATGGCGACGACCGGCCGTTCCCTATGGTGGTCACGGGCACTTGGACCATGGAGGTGGAGGATGGCCAGCGTGCTGAGCCCCAGCAGCGCCTGGCTCGTGCCCCGGTGGCGGACCTGGGTTGCCGCGGCATGCCGCGATCAAGATGGAGCGGGTGGCAGCGGTGGCGGCGGGCGCCGCTCCTGGAAGGACACCTTGCTGCGCCGCGGACGCACCCCGGCCCCGGAGACACAGCCTCCTGCCCCTCACCGGCGGAGCCGCTCCCCCCCTGCGAAACGCCGCTCGAAGGGCCCGAGAGGGCGGCGCCATGATGATAGGAGATCATCGATGGCACCGCAGCGTCGCGACGACCGGAGGCGCTCCACCCCACCACCTCCCCCTCCGCCCCCTGCACCGGCCGGCTCCGGCAACAATGGCAAGGACCCGGTGGAGGATTTCTTCAAGCAGGCGAAGAGGCCACTAGTCGCCTCTGTGGTGGTGGACTGCATGGCGGCTGACGTGCAGGCGGTGGCTGATGCTGCTGTCGTTGCACCGCTGGACTTCAACGATGGCCAACAGGTAGAAGAGGGGGGGCCGGTGGCACAGCCAGATGCGTTCGGCCCCACGCTGTCTGGCCCTCCGCCGCCCATCGGCCAGTTCAACCGCCACGCCCCTGCTCCGGCGCGCACCATGGAGCTCCAGCCGGGCGTGGTGACAAGCCGCGTCTGTCAGCTGGAGATCACTGAAGCTGAAGCTGATGAAAGCACCGAGCCGCGCCGCCTCTTCCGCAAGACCCAGGCCCCGCTCGTTGCTTCACCGCCGGCACGCAGGCCATCTGCACCTCCAAAGTCCCGTGCTGAGTCGGTACCTTCCCGCCAGAGCGCACGTTAGGCAGCCCTCGCGTCATCGGTGCCGGTGGCGCAGCGTGCTTCCCTGCGCATTGTCAAGGAGCTGGGGCTGCTGGGACCAAAGCAGAAGATGTCACCAGAGGTGGCTGAGGCACTGATCCGGCGTTTCGATGAGCCCCTGACAGACAACGACATTGCTGTCATTGCCAAGCTCACGCGTCTGGACGTGAGTGCTTTGCGTGTCGCAGCTGCCATGGCTGGACCTGAAGGAGCTGTCGAGGAGGCCGTAGTTTAGTTATGTTAGTTCTTCATATGTATTCTCTCCGGTGGCGACCGGCTTTACGCCGGTGTGAGTTAGGTCTGTCCTCGTCGAGTTGTAGCTTGTGGTTAGTTTGTCGCCGGCGTATCTTGGGAGCTATTGGTGGTCGCCGGCGATCCCCTGTTATGTTGGCTGTGTTCTGCTTGGGCCCGAGGCCATTTAGTTTATTTAGTCATCGGAGATCATGTTTGTTTCCCCATGAGTAACATGCTTAGCCCGATCATGTGCTGGAACGTCCGCGGCCTAAACAACCCGGCGAAGCGAGCATCGGTTTGTGAGATGGCCACCACACACAAAGCGGCAATCCTCTGCCTACAAGAAACTAAAATTGAGGTCTGGACACCCAACCTAGTGCGTGAGATAGGAGGAGCCCTGCTGCAAGACTGCATAGCTCTGCCGGCGATCGACACCTGCGGCGGAGCGGCAATTCTCTGGAACAGAGATGTAGTTTCAGTAGACTCCCATGCGATCGGCATCTTTGCGATCAT